AGTGCTAGCCTTCCTTAAAGAGAAGCGCCCGGATGAGGAGGATAAGGGGGAGAAGGAGGTTGACCACCTCACTGCCCCTTGTCCTCCTCCTCCACCTGCTCCTCCCGCGCCTCGTGCCGATTCTTACCGTCTTCGTGCCAGTACTCCATCCTCCTGCTCGCCATGTTTCCTGCTGTTTGCCCTCCGCCGCCGCGAGGAGGAGGATATGGAAAAGGGGGAGGAGAAGGAAGAGGAGTAGAGGATAACACAGAGAAGGGAGAGGAGGACCAGAGTAAGCCCAACCTGCATCAACGATGCTGCAAGGCACCCTCTTGATCGAAGTCCACTCCTCACTAGTACCTACCTCCCTTTGACAGACCGCTTCCCATAGGCTTGCCGTTCAGGCGAGGCGTCCATCCTGAAAAGGAACTTCTGTAGCTGCCTTGTATCTTTGTAGCGAGCACTATAAGGAATGCGCAAGGGCATGATCGTACAGTTCAAAGTGGTGTCCAGCGACATTTCTGTTTTGAGAAAGGACCGCCTTCATTTGTGTAATGCTTGCGCCTGGCCATAGGCGTCGAGTGAATTCTGAGGTAGAGCCCCATCTTGACAAGAACCCGCCCTCCATCCCCGCAGCTGTGCCTGTCATGTGTTCAGCTTTGTGGCTGATGCCTGCAGGCTTTCAAGAATAATGCTGGCAGCGCCAAGGCGGGAGCTGCTGATTGACAACGGCCAGCCCTCCATCCTTGAGGCAGTTTCAAGTGACCAAACTTTTTGTGAGAGCAATGCCCTCACAATTTTTACCCATTTTTTCCAATTGAGTTTGCTGACGCTGATGCAAACTTTTTGTGAGGGCATCATTTTGAATACGCTCCGCCCTCCGTCCTTGGAGCAGTTTCAAGTTACAAGCTTCGGGGTCCGAATGTTGGGAGACCGTCCGAGGCGAAACGCCTAGCCCGACCTACCGAGACGTCTGGGGGTGTGCCAGGGAGGAGTTTTGAGAAGGAGTAGGAGCGGAGGAGGAAGAGGATGAGGAGGAGGAGGATGTGGCGGACGGGACAGATTCGGGTATGAGGTGCAGAAAGAGGAGGAGGAGGTGGGAAGAGGAGGAGGAGGTGGAGCAGGTGGCGGAAGAAGAGGAGGAAGAGGAGGAGGAGGAATAGGAGACGAAATGTGGGTTCTCCACCACACAAGCATTTGACCTGGTGCTCTTGTTTCTCCTTCCATTCCTCCAGCTACCGCTTATCTTTTTGATCTCCATACTATGGACTGTCACCCAAGCTATGTGAAGCGTCCTTCTGTCCACTCCAAGCCTGATGTGATTGCTAGATCTCCGGGGAGGAGAAGACCCGGAGGAGGAGGAGGAGGAGGAGGAGGAGGAGGAAAAAGAGAAGGAGAAGGGGGAAGAGGAGGAGGAGGAGGATGAGGGGGAGAGGTGTGACCAGGAGGACGAGGATAAAAGATCAGGAAGGACCGGGAGGCGCAAAAGGAATCGGACGATGGTTTGGAGGATGGGACAGAGGTAAAGGGGGATGACGGGGAACCGTAGGGCGAGGAGCGAATGAGGAGGATGAGGAGGAGGATCGTTGGGATATCGAGGGGAGGGGGATGGGGTGAACGGTTAGGAGGGGAAGGGAGGGTTAAGAGGGGACGAGGGGGTGGAGCATGTCTAGGCTCGCTGCAGGTCCTATACGTACTCCTCCTGCTCCTCCCGTGCTCCTCCTGCTTGTGCTCCACATCCTCTGTTGTGCTTCTCATGCTGCTGCTGCGGCTCGGCCTTCCTCTCCTACTCGCTCCTCCTGTCCCCTCCTTCCTCCACTCCTCGTGTCTCCTGTCCCTCCTTTTTCCTCCTCCTCCTCCTCCTCCTCCTCCTCCTCCTCCTCCTCATCTGCCTCCTGGCTCCTCCCCCATCCACTTCTCGACCCCCCCTCACCACTCGTCTCTTCGTCCCCTCTTCGCTGCTCCTCGCTCCTCCCCGCCCCCATCCACGTCCTTCCCCGCTCCTCCTTGCCCGCCCCAGCTCCTCCCCGCTCCTCTCCGCTCCTCCCCACCTCCTCCTCAGCTCCCCCGCAGGACGTGGCCGCCGTGCTCGCCTCGCGCTACTCGCAGCTGGGGGAGCCGGTGCAGGCCGCCATGTGCTTCTTGGCCGTGTCCGCCACGCAGCGGGCCGTGAGCGCCCTGATGCGCTCGCAGGACTGGCTTCGCAGACGCCGTCGCAGTCGCCGCAGTAGGAGCACGGAGGTGGATGGAGCAGGAGGAGGGGGGGATCATTGTTATTAGGAGGAAGAGGAGGAGGAGGAGGAGGAGGAGGAGGAGGAGGAGGAGGAGGAGGAGGAGGAGGAGGGGGAAGAGCCAGGAGGCAGAGGAGGAGGAGGAGGAGGAGGAGGAAAAGGAGGGAGAGGTCATGCTTTTCTTCCGCGTGCTCCTCGTCCTCGTCCTCTCCATCCTCGTTGTCCTCCTCGCTGCCCCTCCACCCCTGCCGAGAAAGAAGGAGGCGTCGGCCGCACGCGGGAGCCGGTGTCGGACGTGCGCCCATCTCCCTGTCTGCAGCTGCCAGCCGCACACTCTGTCTGTTGGCGTTCTGGCTGGAACGACCCACCAAGGACCGCGTATCTGCTTTCGTCGGAGGTACGTACATGCCAGTGGCGAGCGAGGAGGGGAAGCGAGAAGGAGGAGGCCTTCTCAGAAAGTGGCGGGGCTTCTCGGGAGGCCTCTCTGGCCTTCTGAGGAGCTGTCTCCGTCTTCGGGGGAGGCTCAGGCAACTTCTCAGCAGGCCCACGGCTCTCCGAGCCTTCTGAGAAGGCCCGCCCCCTCTGACTCCCCCCCTCGGGGCGCGCCGCCGACGACGGAAAGCCCCAGCCTGCCGAGTCGATTCGCGGACCGCCATCCCTTCGGTTCTCGAGAGCTGCTGCGGGCGCAGTGCGAGCGGGCCTGCGCCCGCTGAATTTTGGCCCCGGGTCGTCTTCACCAAAGGGCGTTTTGTCAAGGGCGCCCTCGAGGGCGCGAAGTTATTCGCGCTTCGCGGTTCGGCTCCGATTCCTCCTCATCCTCCTCTTCTCCCCTGGGAGGCGGCGCGAGAGCGCGAAGTTGTTCGCACTTCGCGCTGCGCGCAGCGCGAAGCGCGAAGCTGGGAGCCCTTATTTGTGAGCATGCTCCCTGGCAGACCCTGCAGGCCTTCAGGACCTGTGGGCTCTCCAGACGAGCCGCGGCAGCCCTGCTCCTCGCCCCTCGCCCGCCCCAGGGGCCCCGCTGCCTCCGTGCGCATCGGGTGCGGCCCTCAGGAGGAGGAGGAGGAGGAGGAGGCGGAGGAGGAGGAGGAGGAGGAGGAGGAGGAGGAGGAGGAGGAGAGGGGAAGAGGAGGGAAGAGGAGGAGGAGGGGGAGGAGGAGGAGGAGGGGGGAAGAGAAGAAAGAAGGAGGTGGCCGCCCGCTGGCCCGGGCTCGCCGCAGACCAGCAGGTGCCCTGCCCAGGGGGGGGCATGTCCGCTCCCGACATTTCGGCGTACGCGCTCACGTGCTGTCGCTCTCGGCCGAGATCCGTCCTCTTCGGGCTCCTCCTCCTCCTCCTCCTCCTCCTCCTCCTCCTCCTCTCTCCTCCTCCTCCTCCTCCTCCTCCTCCTCCTCCTCCTCCTCCCTCCTCCTCCCCCCTTCTCCTCCTCTCCTCCTCCTCCTCCTCCTCCTCCTCCTCCTCCTCCTCCTCCTCCTCCTCCTCCTCCTCCTCCTCCTCATCCTCCTCCTCCTCGGCGTTGGGGGGCGGGGCGCGCCACTCTCGGACAGGCACCCGCGGCGCCAGAGGCGTGCGCAAGGCGCGCGCGGAGCGCGCCGACGGCCTGGCACGGCCCGCCCTGCGCACGCAGTGCGGCACGCCCCCGCCCGAGGCGCCAGAGGAGGGGCGGGGCGCCTACGCGTTCCCCTCGGCGGCGAGCAGAAGGGGGTAGGGGGAGGGGGGAAGGCTCCTTAGAAGGAGGCCGCTTCTTAGAAGGCGCCCGCCTTACATCTACAGAGAAGGCCCGCACCTTCTAAGAAGCAGGGGTGCTTCTAAGAAGCCTTCCCCCCTCCCCCTACCCCCCTCTGCGCGCCGCCAATCCCCGCCTTCCGCCCCTCCAAGCGCCGCCAGGGTCGGGAGCCTGCTCGCGCGCGTCCGCGTGGGCAGGAGGAGGCTGGGCCGATCCAGCCGCCTGGGGATGCAGGCTCGGGGGCGTTCGATCTTGCGCCCTGTGCCCTCTGGTTCCCTCTCTTCTTCCCGGTCTTGCTGTCTCCGAGTGAGCTCACGTGGCTCTTCACGGAGCTCAGACGCAAGTCAGGTCGAGTGCAACATTGTGCGTTGTAAGGTTCGGAGATTTTCTCATCCTACTCGTTTTGTCATCGACTGCTATTCCTTCACTACCATCGGTCCGATGAAAACAACATCTCGGGGTCGTTCAAGAAAGGTGTGAGGACTGGGTGTGTGTGTGTGTGTGTGGACATCATGGCCGAGGGCCGAGGCTATGATATCTCCCCTGATCTCATGGCCCCCTTTTCTCATCTCAACATGTCCACTCGCCCCCCTGGGCTGCGCAAATGCCTCTGGCCATGATTTGCGACCCCCATCTTGGACGCCCCCCGCCTGGACGCCCCGACCAGACGTGGATCTTTCTTGCCGTGGAGCCGCCTGCGAAGGACATGGCAATTGCGCTATGTGTGCGCACTTGCTCAGCCATCAGCCTAGGAGGCTATGTGGGGCACCCAGGCGGCCCCCTAGAGCTTCTCACTGCTTCACGTCCCACTCGAGCGCATCGTTCGGCTATTCGCGAGCGGTGCTTGTTTGGTTCAGTTGGTAAGGCCGCTTGGGCCACGTCTGTCAGAAGGGGGAGAGACAACAGAGGAGGCAGCATGGAGAATGGGGAGGGAGGAGGGGACAGGGGAGACTGACACCGTATTTGAGGTGCTCAGCATCCCCCGGGTACTCCAGTATTCCTTCTCCCAATCCTCGCCGCGCCCATGTTGGCTCAAGCGCCCTTCTGGCGCTGGGTAAAACTTACCGATGATGTTCCTGACATCATTCTTCATACAGGTTTCCGTATTCACTTCTCTTTGCGGGACTACCGTGCGTTCGGCCGGCGCGGTTTCTCTCGCGCTTCGCCCATCTGAAACTTCGAATCGTAACGACATTGTGAACCGTATACATAGCACTGGCCAGGAGGACGGGAGCGAACAGCTCGCCATCGCGGGCACGGTGCGGGACCTGGGCGAGGAGTATGGCAGCCAGAGCGGCCGTGGCCGCGGCGACGGGACCGCGCGGCTGTACGCCACGAGCGTTGTCTGGCTCGCCATGCTCGTCGTGCTGCTCTGCTTCTGCCCCACGACCTGCTACCTCGCGGAGCTCGAAGCAGAGGGAACAGCATAACAAAAATGTTCAGCGCTGCGCGCAGCTTTCTTGGATCGGCGCTGGGCCCCCCTGGCGGCGTCTCCGGCGCCGCCCCTGGCGCGCTTCGCGCGCCAGGGATTGGGGTCCAGCGCCAATGCAGTAAATCCGCGCGGACCTCCGAAACATTGCTTCCAACATAGTGCCTGCACTTGGTGTTTGTCGATGTTTGTTCAACGAACTTGGCTGGTGTGTCGCCCTGGCTGGCTTGTCGTCGCCCCGTCGCCGCCCCGTCGCATCTTGTCGCCGCGTCGCCGCACCAGATGGGCTGGTGTGTAGCCCCAACGGGCTTGTTGTCGTTCCGTCGCCGCCCCGTCGCCGCCGCTTCGCAGCCGTACCCCTTCGTCGCCGTACCACAGGTGGGTCGCGGGTAGGTCCCGCGTGGGTTGTGGACGGGTCGCGGGTGTTTTTGTTGGGGGTCGCAGGCCTGGTCGCGGGCGGGACGACGACAACAAACAGCAAACAACAGACAACAACCAATAACACCAACAACAACAACAACAACAACAACGGCAACAACAACAACAACAACATCTACAACAATAGCAACATCAACAACAGCAGCAACAACAACAATCCGCACCCCATAAGCCCATTTCAGTCACGAACACAGGGAAAGTGAACGACCGTTCGGCCCCTCAGTCTGATATGTGTCTATATATATATATATAATGGGTAGGGGGCCCCAAGGGCCCCAAAGTGTACTGATTTGTCTTCCGGCCGTTTCGGGCCCGGCGGGGGGCGCCAAAAAATATCTAAGGGGGCCGAGATACGTTCAAGAGGGCGCCAAGATGGCCCAAGAGCGCTCCAAGAGAGCCCAGGACCGCACAAGAGCGCTTCAAAACTTGTCCTAACATAGCTTGAAGACAGCCCTAGAGAGCTTCAAGACGGGACGACGACGACGACGAAGGAGGAGGAGGAAGGACTACCACGGCGACAACGACGACGGAAACGACCACGACGCCAAAGAGGACGACGACGACGAACACGAGGAAAGACAGAGGACGACGTAGGCGACGACGACGACGACGCGGGAGGAGGGAGGACGGCGACGACGACGACGACGACGACGACGCAAGAGCGCGCGCGCACGCTTTTGTTGAAAAACCGTGTTGCGAAGCCTTGTTTTTTGTAGGTTTTTTGGACACGATTTTGAAAGCCTTCCGAAGCCGATGGGTTTTGAAGGATTTCGGCATACGCGCGCGACGACGCGCGCGTCTGCACTTCGTCCCATTTGTTGCAGAGGATTCTCGCGACGGCCCACGCGCAAGGGCGTTCGACTGATTTCGACATGCGCTCGCGAAGCCCGTTTGGTAGCATTTTGTGATAATCTTGCAAAACCGATGGTTTTCTTAAGATTTCGCAAGAGCTCGCGCGTAAGCTTGTTTAGCAAACCAGTGTTGCGAAACCCTGTGTTTTTGTATGTTGTTTTGAAAACTCGATAGCGAAATCCTTCCGACACCGAAGGTTTTTGAAGGTTTTTCGGCATGCGAGCGCGACGACGCGCGCGTTTGCACATCGTTCCATTTTCTGCCAGGGATCCGCGAAAAAGTCTTATGCTAGAACAAAAGATGTCCCCGCGTATTGTTTGTGACAAGGGAACCTCAGGGGGGCCGATACCGGCCCCCTGGGATGCTGTAAGTTCATATATAAGATGGACATGTGGTCGAAATCACATTTGATTTACATACCCGAAAGGGGAGGGATAACGCCGGGGGGGGGGGGGGGTAGCGTCTATTCTCTTTGTAGAAAGGAGAATTTATATGGTGCTATACAGGTGGGTATGCAATATGTGGTGTGCCATCTACGTGGTGCAATTGATTTTAACACACGAGTTGACACATCCCGCGCTCTTGCAAACATCCCACCCACCACCCGCAACTTGGTTTGCAAAACCCATAAGGTGGCGATTGCGATGCGTGCTCGGCGTTGGCTGGTGCGTCTCTGCGGCCGCGCCAACCCAAGCACCCACGCGCAGCGGCCAGCTGGTTTGGAGCGACCGACGCGGCTGCGATGGCGCTGATCGTTGGGCACACACCAGCGGGCACTTCATTGCGAGTCAGCGACATGGGCGGCGCGGTATCATGGCAACGTCGACAACGGTAGACGTTGCGGGCGAGTCTCCAACGACTTCGACGACGCTGACGACGACAACGACGACGACGACAACACCGACGACGACAACGCCGACGCTGACGACGACGAGACGACGATGGCAACGCCGACGACGACGCCGCTGCCGACGACGACGACGTCGACGACGATGACGACGGCGACGACGACGACGATGGCGACGACGAAGACGACGACGACGACGTCGCCAACGAAGACGACGACGACGAGGGAGGTGGGAGGACGACGACGGCGACGACGACAACGACGAGGGAGGAGGGATGACGACGACGACGACGACGACGACGACGACGACGACGACGACGGCGACGAAATAGGAGGGGCAACGACGAAACGCCGACGAAAACGACGAGGGAGGAAGGACGACCACGGCGACAACGATGACGGAAGCGACGACGATGCAAAGACGACGACGACGACGCAAGAGCGCGCGCGCACGCTTTTGTTGAAAAGCCGTGTTGCGAAACCGCGATCCCTGGGAAGCTGCGATCTGCGACATTGTCGCCACGCTCGGAGGCTTTGGGGGTCCGGCGGAGGGACGTCTTACCCGGATTCAGGCTGGACCTCGCCAGCCCCGGGGAGCTGCGATCTGCGGCGTTGTCGCCACCCTCGAGGTCTGCTGGGGGGCCCAGCAGAGTGACGTCTTACCCGAATCCACATGAGACCTAGCCACCCCTGGGGAGCTGCGATCTGCAAAAGTGTCGCTTCTTTCGAAGGCTGCTGGGGGGTCCAGCGGGGTAACGTCTTACCCAAATTCGATCTACATCTCGCCGTCCCTGGGGGGCTTCGAACTGCGAAACTGTCGCCATTTTCGGAGGCTGCCCAGGGGTCCACCGGAACGAATTTTTACCCAGGTTCAAATGAGACTTCGCCATCCCTGGGGAGCACTTTCGAAGGCTGCTGGGGGGTCCAGCGGGGCGCTGTCGCGGGCCGCCCGCAGACCTGGCGGCGCGCCTTGGAGCATTTCCCCCCCGCGTCGAAAAGTGCTGGAAGGATTCAGGAAAGCTGGCGGGCGAGCTAAGCATCGCTCGCTTGTTGCACTAACTACCAGCTGGTTTAATCATTTTGTCAAGCGCCGCGGCGAAATGGCACGGGCAACGCTGCGTCTCCACACTCAACCGAGAACCGAGAATTGTGACTGAACCGAACCGAACCAAACCAAAACAAGAAACATGTAAAACCGAACCGGACCGAACCGAGTTCGTTCAGAGCCGAACTGGGGGGGCCGAATTGGGGGGGCCGAGCCGGACCGAAGCGAATTCGTTCAGAACCGGAACCGAACCGGAACCGGGTGGCCCTCCGAACCGAACCGACGTGAACCGAACCGGACGTCCCAGGCCGACGACCACCCGTACCCCAACCACCCTGAAAGACGACGACGGCTGAGGCAGCGAGTGCCGAAGATTGAGCCAATATGTACAAGCGGTGGCGATGATGACCATGACGAAAATGAGGACGCTGGGGCGTGTCGGGGCGAGTCGGCGCAGGTCGGGCGGGTCGTCCGCGGCGGACCGCGGGAGGGCGGGCCCCTTGTAGGGCGGGCCCCTTTGGCGCCCCCCCCCCCCGCGGCCGCCGCCGCGGTGCCAGGGTTCCCGCGGGAACCACCCCGCCCGCACTCAATTGCCCCCCCCTTGTCGCGACCGGCACCGTCGCGACACCCCCCCCGTCGTCGCGTCGCGACCTCCTCCGTCGCGACCCCTCCCCGTCGCGACACCCCCCGTCGCGACCCTCCCCGTCGCGACCAGCCCCGTCGCGACCTCCCCCGTCGCGACCCGCCCCGTCGCGACAGGCCCCGTCGCGACCCCTCCGTCGGGACCCCCGTCGCGACACCTCCGTCGCGACCCCCTCCGTCGCGACGGGGGGGGTGGGATCGCGACCCCTCCCTCCCCCCCCGGTCGCGAACCCCGCGCCGTCGAGACACCCCCGTCGCGAACCCCTCCGTCGCAACCAGCCCCGTCGCGCTCCCGTCGCGACCCCTCCCGTGCGATTGGCCCCGTCGCGACCCCCCTCGTCGCGATCACCGTCGCACCCCCCCGTCGCGACTGGCCACTGGCCCAGTCGCGACCGGCCCCGTCGCGACCGGCCCCGTCGCGAACGCCCCCGTCGCGACCAGGCCCTGTCGTGACCCCCCCCGTCGCGACCCCCCCCCGTCGAGACCCCCCTTGTAGCGACCCCGCCTGCGGCGACCCCCCGTCGCGACCGGCCCCGTCGCGACCCCCCCATCGCGACACGCCCCGTCGCGACCTGATGCTGAGCGCGTGCGTCTTGCACATATCCGTGAACGCTGGGAGATCGCTGGTGCACTTGGCCCTGGGGCAATCGCGCCAGCTAGGATCCGCGGCAGCGGCCATGGCGGGGCAAGGGGGTGCGGCGCGCGGTGCGCGAGCGCTTAGTTGAATCGAGCCTAAATGTGCATCGGATCCGCAAACAGCCGCGGCAACATGCCCCCCTTCCCTCCTCCCTCGAGCCGAGGGTCTCCTTAGACGAGGAGCCCCTGGCCGCTGCCTCATATATACGAGGAGCCCCTGGCCGCTGCCTCATGTAGACGATGTTGAGCCTGGTGAATCGGCAACAACAAGAAATCAAGATTTCTCAGAACACCAGTTCGGCCTTTTCTGACACCCATGTTGGGCCTCTAGGAAAACCAACCGATCCAAATAGATATGATTTTTGTGCACAGAAAAACCGATATAAATCTACCGGCTCTAAAAAATGCTCGATTTAGATCATCGGGCTCTATTTAGATAGGCGAATATAAATAGATCTGCGCCGCTCTAAACAGATAGGAAAAGCCCACATATATAGGACACTATTATGATGGGAA